CATTGGTGAGGCCTCATCTGGAGTACTGTGTCCAGTTTTGGGCCCCACACTACAAGGAGGATGTGGAAAAATTGGAAAGAGTCCAGCAGAGGGCAACAAAAATGATTAGGGGGCTGGAGCACATGACTTCTGAGGAGAGGCTGAGGGAACTGGGATTGTTTAGTCTGCAGAAGAGAAGAATGATGGGGGATTTTATAGCTGCTTTCAACTACCTGAAAGGGGGTTCCAAAGACGATGGATCTAGACTGTTCTCAGTTGTACCCGATGACAGAACAAGGAGTAATGGTCTCAAGTTGCAGTGGAGGAGGTTTAGGTTGGATATTAGGAAAAACTTTTTCATTAGGAGGGTGGTGAGGCACTGGACTGGGTTACCAAGGGAGGTGGTGGAATCTCCTTTCTTAGAGGTTTTTAAGGTCAGGCTTGACAAAGCCCTGGCTGGGATGATTTAGTTGGGAATTGGTCCTGCTTTGAGCAGGGGGTTGGACTAGATGACCTCCTGAGGTCCCTTCCAACCCTGATATTCTATGATTCTATGATAATTTTGACAAAGTACCTGGCCTCCTACACTGGTCACTAATCAGCAGGATGGATAAAAATCAATGATTTAAAAAAAATAAAAATAAAATAAAAATCAGATTTTTTTATTTAAATCAGACTATGAGCTATAATGTCTCATCATGGAATAGGGACTATAAATTCTAATTCTATAGTATGAGAATATATTTATATAATGTTTAAGAAAACTTTTGTAAATGAGTTCCAATAGTTCATGGATTAGGGACCCAATCTTATGGGGTTCCGGGGCTTCTGTATAGATTATTTAGGTTAATCTTTCTATCTATCCAATGGGACTCGGTGCTCAGTCTAGAAGAAACCATCAGAGATGCTTAGTTTTGCAGTTCTCAAACTGTGGATTTGTGTCTCTAGAGATAACATGCTTGTAAACAGCAAAAGTGTTTTTAAAATAAATAATACATAGAGGTGAGAAATAACAGACCTCAACTCTATTGTCCCTCTGCAAATTTGTGTACACAGAGTCAATACCTTACCTTTCTCTCTAAAAGTGCAAAGTTTCAAAAAAAAGTTCAATGAATAGAAGATTGTTCGGGGCGGAACAAATCTGGACAAGGAGAAGTCTGTAGATAAATGTGAGAAGGGAGGTACAGGCAGTAGAAACAAAAGTGAAACTGTTTGAGCAACATATTCTCAAAGTCTTGAGGTCTTTCTGAGTGTAGCCTTCACTGATTTGAGATCTACCCTACCATTCTCTCACTAGAAGGGAAAACCTATCATGGCAGCAGGCTGTAAAATAGACCCAGTTTGGGCATAAGAAATATGTTTGCTGATGATGTTTTAAAGAAAGACACACCCGTGAACTGGTGGAAGTCACTTAAGCACTTGGATTCAGAGACTGTTGAAGTGATAATCTCACTTTTAACAGCAGTAGCTTCTTCTGCGGGTGTAGAAAGAATATTTTTTTCCTTTGGACTAATTCATTTCAAATTGAGAAATCGTTTGGGACCTGAAAAAGCAGGAAAGCTTGTTTTTCTTTCCCAGATTATGAACAAACAGGAAAATGAAGGTGAAGACGACTGAGTTAACTGCAGATGCCAATATTTTAAGTTTCTCATGTTGACCTGGCTGACAGTCTATTAAATGAAATATTAAAAAAAAAATTAAACTATTTTAGTTAAAAACAATTTTAACAAAAACAAACCTGATTTTAAAAAACTTGAATGTTTAACTAAATTCAAAAATTCATATGCTTGTTTTGTTAAAATATTATACAGTATATTTGCTGTTGAAGAAAAAAATCCAGAATAGAACATTGTTTTAGTTAAATAAAACAATTTAAATGTCTGTCTGGTGATGTTCTCCTCCTAATACAACATGGCAAGAAAATCCTCCAAATATTAATGATTAACCTGTTGAATTGGAGATATTTATGAAGTCATTGGGAGGTGAACTATCTGCTTCAATTACCTTTGGTAAATGAAAAAACCAAACAATCATTAATTTTCTGATATAGCTATAAAACTAATTTGAAAAGTTTTAAAGTGATATATTGTGAAAAATGTATAGTGTGTACCTTCTAATAATGAAATCTACATCTATCTCTGAGTTGTGAAGAATATGTATTAAGGTTATAACAACCAACAAGAATGCACTTTTATGTAGAAATCCATGATTAAAATCGAGCCTTCCTGACTAGTGATTTAAATCAAATCCACCCTGCTAATCAGTTACAAAATTTAATAAAACGTTTAGATCTTTTGTCTCTTCTCTTTTATTCATTAATCTGTAATATTCTAACAATAGCTAAGGGCATAGTTCCCACCACTGCACTGTCCATAATACACACTGATTTGTATTTGAAGATTGCCAGGGGAGAGCAATTTAGTTATTCATGGCTCAGTATATCAGATATTCTTTTATCACCTGCAAAGTTTATCTATTTTTTTTCCCCCTGAGCATTTGAAAAAGGTCTGAGGGAAGGAAAAAATGTACTTAGATTGCAAACTCTTTGGCATAGGAACTGTCTTCTTGTTCTGTTTGCGCAGTGCCTAGTACAATGGGTTCATGATCCATGAGTGGGGCTCTTAGATGCCAGGTTAATATAAATACATTAAATAAATAATAATACTAATGATAATGTTGTTTCTGGTTGGAAAGAAAGGGATTGCTGCAGTTGTCTTATAGTGAAAGGAATTTTGGATCACTATTTCACACACACACACACACACACACACACACACACACAGACACACACACACTGTTCGTTGATGTGAAATTCTCAATCAACAGCACTGGATAGAGCGTAGCATAATGTTAGGTTTGTGTTTTTTAAATTAGACTATCCAAGTTGAAAGATGTAATGACAGAGATTCAAATCCATGAGCACCTTCAAAACATGAAAGGACATGTTAATGTGGAAATACTTAAACTGTGAGAGGCTGTGCCAGCTACACCATTTTTACAACTGAAATGGCCAGAGGATCCATGGATTGGTACTTATCGCAACTTCAGAAATGGTCACATTGCATCCTCAGAAGTGAAAAAAATATATATATTCTAGCATGCTAGAGAGTTTTAGGGTGGAGTGAAATGGAAAGAAAATCTAGAATGAAGAGATGAGAAATCACAGTCCACTAACAGAATAAATCAGAAACCGAAAAACATGAATTTGAACAAACTGAAAACATTTTACATGGAAAAAAACTCCTATTAAAAGGACTGCTCTTCATATCAGCATAAACAAAAGGTTTTGGAAGGCATCAACCCATTTTTTAAAAATAAGTCTTAAAGAATAGTTCAATACAGTAGTTAGTCACCGTCCGAATTGTAGTGATTATTACTAAACAAAACAGAACAGTCTGTGGCTCAAACTACTGGACACTCCAGTGGATATGGCATAATGTGCCATATGCATGGCAAGCTGTATAAAAGCTGTAGAGATGAATCCATTTAATAAAGGGTAAGTAAATAACTTTGTACAAGATAATTTTAGCTCACTGTGCAGAACTTAGCTATTTTAGCATGCCTGCTAGTTTTACAATTATCACCCAGTTTGAGGTTCATTCTTCTCAATTATTAAGAACAGTAGTTGACAAACTTCTTGTTGTTAGGCCCCTCTTGGGAACCATAACGAATTTCCAGACACACACACACACACACACACACAGTTCAGTAATCTCTCTGTTCACCTCTCCGACCCTAATCCCACATTCTTTCAGATTTTCTTTCCCTTTGCTCCCTCTTTCAAAGATCAGTGTAGAAGGGGGAGAGCTAGAATAGCTTTATTATGGAGTTATTGAAACAGCTTCATTACATGACGTTCACCACATTATCCAGTAGTATTATCGGGTTTAGAATTAAAGGATCATTATTTTACAGTAACAGAAATTATGCATTATGATGAATTTTGTGAGCTACTTATTACAAACTCTTAACAAATTTACTGTATCATTTTATTAATATATTAGCAATAATTTCAGTATAGATCTACAGTAGTTACTGTGAAAAAGTAATCTTTTAATAACAGTTGCCACATCATAGTGGCCAAAATATCTGTACTTAGGTGAGTGATTTTCTCACCTAAGCATCAGTCATCTGTAGAGACTGTAGGAAATGCCAGTGTCATGTGTGCACCGAGTAGCTGCTTGCCCAAGGTAGTGATTACATCCTGGTATATCACATCCACTAGTGGGCAAAACAATTCAGTGCCACTGCGTGTTACACAAGTGCTAATGGTACAAAGGACATCACAGTCCAGATACAGTAGAAATGGATTGTAACCAGAGTCTTATTTGTCTGCTGAAACACTGCACCTGTTAAGTCACTGCGGACATTGAGCCATAGGGTATGAAGATGAAAGTAAAGCTATTTAAAAAATAACCAAAGAGTACAGTAAATATACTTAAAGAAAGCACTTCAAAATCTAGTATGCATGCACGTACACACACATACTCATACATAAATTTTGCTTTTGTTGATAGGGACACTAGCACCAAAAAGTACACACAGATTATTTTTTCTGACACTATCTTCAATTTTTGTTCCATTCATCTTCTCTGAAGATAAGAAGCTTGGGAGCACAGAACGTGTAGCGATGTGGCTGTGAGGTATAAAAGGGACTATATCCCCATTTTAAACCATTTTATATCCCAAATGTTACTAGCAGACCCACAGCTTTGAAATGTTAGTGATCAAATGAAATCAGAAAGTATATACATCTATTTAATTCATTCTTCTCATGTCAAGCAGGTATCCTTACCTATATTGAACTAAACTTTATTTTTGTCACAAGAAGAATAAATCTCCTTAGGATGGGGAGGGGAGGGAAATGATAAGTTTTTACTGAATATATCATTTACATATAGTAATATCAATGAATTTAAACAAAAAAAAAAATCTTTGAATTCTAGCAGTTCTATATATTTTGACACATGACATATTATGCAATTAACTGTGACTGGAAAGAGAAAAAAGTAAATACTGACCTTCCACTTCTGAATTGCAATGGAGATGTTGCTACTGCCACTTTTAAGAAGTCTTGATCCTCTGCCTTATTACGCTCATTGTAAATTAGTGGAATATCATCATCATCCTTAAAATTGGAGTGTGGACTTAGTTCTGCTAAACAACTTTTATTACTTCTTCTTGAAAGGTCATCCATGGTAGCTGGTTCTTCAGAATTTACCCCCTCCTTATCTGCAAAAACCAGGAATAAATGTTTTGCAAAAATGTTCTTACAAGATGAAAACACAGCAAGGGGTCTTTTAAATGTAATATAGGAATTTTTACTTCATACTATCTTTCCTATTATCGCAGCAAGCTGACATTAATTAGAGAACTCTGTACCAAAGTAACTAAAACACAATGTTCTACTTTGCATCAGAGATCTTTTTAGAGACATTCATTCTTAAAAAAAAAAAAAAAAAAACCCACACACCCTATTTTTTTTACAGATACCCAATATATTTTAAGGCTTTTGGCCTTTCAATTATTTTGAAACTTTTCTTTCCTCATAGAACTAGAAAGTATCACATTTTTCAGTAATAGGGTTGAGATTACTGGCCAGAAATTGGATATAAAAAGTAATTTAAACAGTAGGTACAATTAAGATTAAAGGAAAACTCTCAAGGTTAACATGTCCCCAAAAGGAATCTACACTAAAACCAATGTAAAATGTTTCCCTGATACTGAAAAATGTCTTAGTCCTGAAAAATAAAGGCTGCAACAACATTAAATTCTCTTCTCCTCAAACAGACAACAAAGCAATATCATGGTGCTGGGATCTATGGATCAGATTGTAGATAAGTACACATGATAGGAGGGCATAAAATCACATAATAAAAGCACATATTGTAGAATGCCTCTTTAGATGCTTATTTTGGAGTAAGAATAAAAATGGGATAAACAGATTGGTACTAGCATACACTCAGTGCCTCACATTACAGTTTGATTATTATACTGAATATAATGTCATTTTTACATTCCAAATGACTCCTCGTTACAAAGTTTTAACTGATTTTCTGTAACTGTTTTCAGGACAGCAATGCATCAAATAGTTCTCCCCCTCCTCCCAATAAACTACTGTTAACACTTTACCATATTTAGAGTTTTTATAAATCTACACAAATAAAAGCACATAACAGAGTGCACATAATCATAGAAATGTAGGGCTGGGAAGGGATCTTAAGAGATCATGTTGTCTGGCCCCCTGTGCTGAAGTAGGACCAAGTACACCTCAACCACCCCTGACAGGTGTTTGTCTAATCTGTTCTTAAAAATCCTTCAGTGATGGGGATTCCACAACCTCCCCTGGTAACTTATTCCAGTGCTTAATTATCCTTATAGTAAGAACATTTTTACTACTATCTAATCTAAATCTCCTTTGATGGAGGATTAATATCATTACTTCTTATCCTACCTTCAGTGGATATGGAGAACAATAGATCACCATCCTCCTAGTAGCAGCCCTTAACCTATTTGGAGATTGTTACCAGGCTTCTTTTCTCGAGACAAATCATGCCCAGGTTTAGTTTAGTCTTTCCTCATAACCTTTTAGAATTTTTGTTACTCTCCTTTGGACATTCCAATCTGTCCACATTTTTTTTTAAGTGTGGAGCCCAGAACTTAACACAGTACTCCAGCTGAGGCCAGTGCCGAGCAAAACGGGACAATTACCTCCCATGTCTTACAACATTCCTGTTAATACATCAAAGTGGTATTAGCCTGTCTCACCACTGCATCACATTGTTGACTCTCATTCAATTTGTGATCCACTTTAACCCCCAGATCCTTTCTTTTCAGCAGTGCTATTTCTTGACCACTAGTCCCCATTTTGTAGCTGTGCATTTTATTTTCATTTCCTAAGTGAGATACTTTGCACTTATCTTTATTGAATTTAGCTTGTTGATTTCAGACTTATTCTCCAATTTGTCAAGGTTGTTTTGAATTCTAATCCTGTCCTCCAAAGTGCTAGCAACAGCTCTCAGCTTGGTGTCATATGCAAATTTTGTAAGCATTCATTCCACACTATTATCCAAGTCATTAACAAAAATACTCAATAGTTACGGACCCAGGACGGACCCCTGTTAGACTAAACTAGATCTATCCTCCCAGTCTGAGAGCAAACCATTGATGACTACTCTTTTAGCAGTCTTTCAACCAATTGCATGTCCCACCTTACAATAATTTCAGCTAGATCACATTTCCCAGGTTTGCTTATGAGACTGTCATGTGGAATTGTGTCAAAAGCCTTACTAAAAATCTAGAGATCACCCCCATTTACTAGGCCAGTAACCCTGTCAAAGTAGGAAATTAGATCATCAAGAGCTAGTTGTGCCAACAAGATCCATGTTGGCTATTACTTATCCTACTATTCTCTAGATGTTTATAGACATTGTTTAATAATCTTTTCCTATATCTTTCTAGGAATCTAAGTTCGGCTGACTGGTCTATAATTCCCTGGGTCCGCTTTGCTCCTTTTTTTAAAGATAGGCACTATGTTTGCCCTTCTTCAGTCCTCTAGGACAGTGGTTCCCAAACTTGTTCCGCCACTTGTGCAGGGAAAGCCCCTGGCAGGCCAGGCCAGTTTGTTTACCTGCTGCGTCCGCAGGTTTGGCCGATCGCGGCTCCCAGTGGCCGCAGTTGCTGCTCCAGGCCAATGGGAGCTGCTGGAAACAGCGCGGACCGAGATCCTCCAAGAGTTCTCAAAGATAATTGCTAACCGTTCTAAGATTGCTTCAACTAGTTCCTTAAGTAACCTAGCACAATTTTCATCAGGCCCTGCTGACTTGAATACATCTAAAAATTCTTTAACATGTTAACTATTTTGGTTTGTGTTCCTTCTCCCTTGTTCTTAATATTCATTGTGTTAAGCATCTGATCACAATTAATGTCTTCAGTGAAGACTAAAGCAAAATAAGCATTCAACACCTGAGCCTTCTCGAGGACATATCCTATTAGCTCTCCTTCCCCGCTAAGTAGAGGACCTACACTTTCCTTCATCTTTTTCTTACTCCCAATGTATTTAATAAACCGCTTCTTATTGCCATTTACGTCCCTTGCTAGGTGTAATTCATTTTGTGCCTTAGCCTTTCTGATTTTGTCCCTACATGCTTGTGCTATTCTTTTGAACTTCTCCTTAGAATACGCCCATATTTCCACTTTTGTAGAATTCTTTTTTTTATTTTCAGGTCATTAAAGAGCTCCCGATGGAGCATTACTGGCCTCTTACTATCCTTCCTATCTTTCCTTCACACTGGGATAGACAATATTAAAGATACAACAGCAAACTCTTTGAGAAACTGCCAGTTCTCCTGAATTCCTTTGGATTTTCTTTCCATGGGACCTTACCTACCAGTTAAATGAGTTTGTTAGAGTCTGCCTTTTTGAAATGCACGGTCCTTATTCTGCTGCCATCACTTTTTCCTTTCCTTAGACTCATGAAATCTATAATCTCATGAGGACTTCCACTCAAATTGCCTTTTTTAAGCAACAGACACATGGGAGCCTAGTGATTTAGGAGCCTAAGTCCTGTTTTCAAAAATGAAAGTCGATGGGGATTTAGGCACCTAAGTTACATTTTAAAATGGGACTTAGGTACTTTGGAATTTTTACTCTAAAACATCACATGGTTCTAGATTCAAATACTTGAATTATATTGAAATGCTCTTACTCTCATCAGGAAGAAGTATTTTATCTGGAAGGAGATTTCCCTGAGAAGCTGTTCTACATAAGCGAGCCCGGGCACTGCTGACTTTCCTAACCTCCATTGGGTCCACTGGAGGCTTCGGGAAGGAAATGGAAGAATCTTCATCTTTTATAGGTGATGAAAGTAGTTTTGGCTTCTATTACAAAGAAAGATGAAGATCAGTTTTTACAAACTTGTATCCCATTTGTATTTCCATATAACCTAAAATTAGCAAAATAAAACTGTAACATTCACCATAAATTTTCTTCCAACTTCTGACTAATTTAGGTGAGAATTAAACAATAGCAACCAGAAAAATCTAGTTTTCTTTTTTAACAAAAATCATAAACATTCCATGCAACAAAATAAGTTAGACCAAATATGTCCGTTTGACCATAGACAGCCAACAAAAATAGGTGCTGAGGAAAGCATGTCTAAAATCAGTCCCAAGAGAAAACCCAAGTGCTAAAAGAATTAGCCATAAGCTAGCTTTAATTTAGAAATGAATTTATTAAATCTAAATAATATTTCTTTCCCTTAAATAAGCCATCTACATTAAACATGTGCTCCATCACAAAATTTTGTGACCAATCCTGAACGGTACCAAGTATGCACATCTCAAAGAAGGCCTGTTATTTGCAGTGCTACTTCTTTGGAAGTTGGCTTAATTTGTAGAAAATTAAAAGATTGATTGAGAAGACTCAGGAAGAGGCTGCATAAAAGCAAAGAAGACATGCTGCATGAATTCACGCAGAAGTCTGTAAATGAGAATCGAAAGGCACAGAAGTGGAGGGAAAGTGAAAGGAGGATCTGCCAGGAAAACGCGACGCACTGCAGCAAAGCACGGAACGGCTGATTAGCATAATGGAGCTCCAAGAGGACTCTATCCAGGCACTCGTTGCCATGCAGGCGGAACTCTACCACGCTCACTCCCCTCCCCCCCCTTGCAGCCCTTGTCCCAAAACTCTTCCCTTTGTGCCCATGTCCCCTCCAACCCACTTTCCCCAACATCCAGGTTCTTACCACCCCCTGCTGCCTCCTACACCCGTAGCTTCACCACCCACCCACAAAAACTACAACTCTTATCCACTGCACTCAACCCCCCTTCAACATGCCTTATAGCCATCCTGAAGTGCAGCACTCAGTGCACAGCACTCCAGACAGGATTCAAGAGTATGAAATCAGGACATACTCAAGCCTATGAGTGAACTGGTCCCCACCCCACCCCCTTGCCCTTTTGGTATTTCTGTGGTTTTTGTTTCCCCCCCCCCCCAATAAATGAATTTTCTTTTCAATAAATAGAGTTTTTTACTTTGAAAACATACTTTATTAGTGCATAAAGCAAAATATACCTTAGCCCAGGAAAGCAACAAGCACTGCAAGTCAGTGTACCAAACACAGCCACTGCACTTGTCTGGTGCTCTGCATGGGAGTTATTACTAGGGGCTTTCAGCCTCAAATTGCTCCCACAAGGCATCCCTAATCCTTGCAGCCCCACGCTGGGTCCCTCTAATAGCCCTGCTCTCTGGCTGTTCAAATTCAGCCTCTGCAGGTGTTGAACCTCCGAGGCCCATGCCTGAGTGAAGCTTTCACCCTTCCCAAATATTATGGAGGGTACAGCACGTGGCTATAACCGCAGGGATGCTGTCTTCGACCAAGTCCATTTTCCTATAAAGAGAGCGCCAGCGGCCCTTCAAACGGCCACTCCACAGTCATTCAACACCGGCTCAGCCTGTAGTTGAACCATTCCTTGCTGCTGTCCAAGCACCCTGTGTAGGGTTTCATGAGCCACAGCATTAAAGGGTAAGCGGGGTCTCCAACGATCACAATGGGCATTTCGACTTCCTCTATGGTGATCCTCTGTTCTGGGAAAAGAGTCCCGGCTTACAGCTTCTTGAACAGGCCAGTGTTCCGAAAGACGCGTGCGTCATGCACCCTTCCAGGCTAGCCTGAGTTAATGTCAAGGAAATGACCATGGTGATCCACAAGCGCCTGGAGAACCATGGAGAAATACCTCTTTCGGTTAACACACTCTGAGGCTAGGTGGACTGGTGCCAGAATAGGAATATGCGTCCCATCTATCGCCCCTCCGCAGTTAGGGAAACCCATTTGTTCAAAGCCAGCCACAATGTCATGCACGTTACCTGGAGTCATGGTCCTTCTGAGCAGGATGCGATTAATGGCCCTGCAAACTTGCATCAACACAATTCCAACTGTCGACTTCCCCACTCCAAACTGGTTAGCGACCGATCGGTAGCTATCTGGAGTTGCCAGCTTCCAGACTGCAATAGCCACCCGCTTCTCCACCAGCAGGGCAGCTCTCAATCTTGTGTCCTTACGCCGCAGGGTGGGGGCGAGCTCAGCACACAGTCCCATGAAAGTGGCTTTTCTCATCTAAAAGTTCTGCAGCCACTGCTTATCATCCCAGACTTGCAGGACGATGTGATCCCACCACTCAGTCCTGAGTCCAAAAGCGGCGTTCCATGGTGGAGAGCATGTCTGTGAATGAGACAAGCAATTTCGTGTCGTATGCGTTACGCGACTAGATATCATCTTCGGATTCCTCACTGTCACTTTGGATCTTAAGCAGTAACTCGACTGCCAAACGAGACGTGTTGGCGAGACTCGTCAGCATGTTCCGCAGCAGTTCGGGCTCCATTCCCGCAGACTGAAAGGGAAGACAAAGCGCGCTCTGCACAGAAACCGTTGTAAGATAGCACCAAATGTGGATGGAAACACAGGGATTGCTGGGATGGGAAGCGATGCATCATGGAGCGTTGGGACAGGATCCAGAATGCCCCGCACCCACGCCCCCCACAGCACCAGAATGGGAAGAGGTGCTCTGTGGGATAGCTGCCCATAATGCACCGCTCCAAATGCCACTTCAAGTGCCGTGAATGTGGCCACGCCAGTGTGCTTGCAGCTGTCAGAGTGGACAGATTTGAACGCTTTCCCTGGTGCACGCTCTTGACCGTATATATGTATATGTCCTCTGCCAATAATCAAACCGGGGAAACACAAAGTCCTTTGTCTATGGCAGGCTAAGTTTATGCACTGCCTCCCAAAGACATTTTAAGAACATATTTCCAGCTAGGGTGACCAGATACCATATGTGAAAAATCAGGACAGAGGGTGGGGTAACAGGCGCCTGTATAAGAAAAAGCTGTGAATATCAGGACTGTCCCTATACAATCAGGACATCTGGTCACCCTATATCCAACACAAACACAACTCTCTGTACACAACCTGTACATACATCACACAATGATTTTGGGGACCAGCATATCACCAATGTACATGATACCTTACAGGACACCTGTTAGATACATATTATGACAATGGTGTGTTGGGAGTGATGAGTTTGTCAGGCCATGATTTGAGTTACAGTACAGTGGGCCCTCTGCCAGCTGGCAATGAGGAGTTTTTAGTGTTACACAGACTAGGAAGAGAAAGCTTGTTATTCTTTCTACCTATAGAACACTTAGGAGACTCACAATACTACAGAGCTAAAATACCACAAAGATTGTAAGTACCTAAGTAGATCATACTAATATAGTAATTACAATAATTGTATAAAAATGCCTAAAACCCCACAGTCTAAACCCCATTTTAAAGATAACTAAACAAAGATGTTTCAGTCATATAAATATTTTTCTTTGATATATCAAAATAATTGCAATGTTATGAAATTGGAAATGGACTCTTTAAAATTTCCCAAACCACTCAATATTGTGTGAGCTGCTATTATGAACAGAAATATGACTGCAATGAATTAGTGAAGGTTGCTTGTACTCTACTACTGATGTTACTGATTTAGTGTGCACTGTACTACCTCATTAGACAACTTAATATTTTAAAGTGTCCATGACCTAGTCACATATTAAAGACTAATCTCAACTACAAAACTAGTACATCTATAAAATAATTCAGCATTTTCTCAATAGAAGACATATATAAACTATCCCAATTGAATTGACTAGAACTACCAAACATTATAAATAACTCCGCCACACTTTTCAATTGCAAGTTGCAGATCAGCAATTCCTAATTTCCTTTTCAATGCCAGTGCTACTTGTTAGTGTTTTGCACTTCACTTACCTTAAATATGAAAACAGACTGAGTCAATTTTCGACTTCTGGTTCTTAAGCATTAATGCAATGCTGTTGTATTTGGGGTTAGAATGCTACACAGGAATACGTAAATACCTAAAATACTGTTAGAGAGACAAGGTGGGTGAGGCAATATCTTTTATTGAACCAACTTCTCTGTTGGTGAAAAACTTTTTGAAAGCTTGTCTCTTTCACCAACAGTTGTCCAATAAAAGGTATTACTTCACCTACCGTTTCTCTCTAATATTCTAGGACCAACACAGCTACAAGCATCGTAAAAAGAACTTGCACTCTCATTTCTGGGGGAAAAAATTCAATAAATCAATTCTACTTTCTCATCCCCCCCGATTCTAATAAACCACACAAAACATCCATTTAACCAGTTTTCACATAATCCTTTTATATCACTGCAGTGGGTTGGTACCATTCACAATACTTTATTTCAACATTACATAACATTCTTTTTAATAAGCACTCACATGGTCCAGTGGGCTGAGACGTGTACCAGACACCGATCTTGATTCGCCTGATTCAAAACTGGAAGCATGGAGACTAGCATAAAGAACAAACAGAATATTAACCCTGACCTCATTTTGTTTCCCCACAAAGGATCTTCGCCCCCGCTGCTCGTAAACAAGTGGGAGTATCTCATCCGCAATACTGTTCTTCTTTCCCCATAGTCCTACAGATGCTCTTCAACTGAGGTGTCAAGTAGAATATAGCTCAGTGGGCGTGGGGAAGAAAGCAGAGGACTGCCTGCATACTGACACCCTCTTCTAATTATTGCGTGGACAGATACTGGAAAAGGAATTGAAGCTGCTTGAAGATTTATATCTCACTGTAAGTCCTTGCTACAGCTGCTTCCGAGCAGTCATAAGGGGTGGATGTAGGCAATGGCAGTGCAGCTCCTGCAGAAGCCATGCTGCTGGATAGAGGGACACCAGAGAAGGCAGGAACCATCCCTGCAGTTGGTTCATGCCACTGTCACAAGAAAAAAAAAAAAAAAAAAAAAAAGAAAAGAGATCTTGCCCTCTGTGAACTATGCTAAGCCACAAGCCTCTCCCACCAGAGGAGAAGATAACTAGTTATTCCATAAGGAAAATAATCTTAAACCTATTTAAACATTTGGAACTCAAGGAGGCCTTTTCTGAAATAAAATTTTTTTTAAAGGCTTTAGAAACAGAAATTTTATGGAAACAGTGAGATACAAAACCTTCTCTTACACCATACGCTACACACAAATTTGGTGTAATGATTGCCACAGTTAGTTTCAAGTCACAGGAACTTCTAGGACACAGAGTTTAACAATACCAGTGAGCATCATTAAAAGATGAGAAAGTCTATACTACTAATTACATCCTAACATAGGAAAAAAGGACCACAAAAATTAACAACAACAACAACAACCACCACCACCAAACCTCTTGCTGCTAAAATATAATAAAAAAATCTTAGTCTCTGTACCTAAAAGTGGAAGGTGGTCTATTTTCTGGTGTTCGTGAAGAAGCAGATCCAAAAAGTTTCCTTTGGTCCTCTCTAGGTGTAAATGGCCTCTGAGTTCTTAAAGTCCTTAGTGCATTTCGTGCTTCATTTATTATCTCAGCACTGGTCTTCTGCTTAGGTGCTGAAGGTCTATAAAATGGTTCTGGCTTTTCCACATTTTTATTCTTTGAAGAATGCATTCTTCTACAAAATACTTTACAGGAAGCACTGTGTATAGGAGGCACAAAATACAACACTACTTGCAAGTGATTAATAATTAAGACATTAATAAATAATTCAGTTATCCACATGCAGTTAAAATAGGATTTAAAAAGAACAAAATCTAAGACCAGGATGAGGGTGGGGAAAATATTCTCAGATACCTCTAGAAATCTCCTTTTACCATTGGAGTTCAAAGAATATTGTTCTCCCCTCTTCATTTTTCAATCCTATGGAAAATGCACCTTTACCTCAATATAACGCTGTCCTCGGGAGCCAAAAAAATCTTACTGCATTATAGGTGAAACCGCGTTATATTGAACTTGCTTTGATCCGCCGGAGTGCGCAGCCCCCCCCCCCCCCGAGCACTGCTTTACCGCGTTATATCAGAATTCGTGTTATATTGGGTAGCGTTATATCGGGGTAGAGGTGTACTGCAAATGTATACAGTGTGTCCAGCTCAGAGTGAGTTTAAAAACAAAACCTCACACAAACAAAACCAAAACACCACACTTAGAGGATGCAATGCTTTCAGAGTCACACAATAGTTTCCAAACACCCTAGAAAATGTCCTCAAATAACACTATTTCAACACCCAAAAGCTAATGATTCAGTGAACACCACAGTGATGTCACCACAGCAAGAACTAGACAAAGAGCACGTAAAGGGAAGACTTTCTTGATCATATACTTAACTTATATTGCTTGTTTTCTATCAGTCTTATCAAGTTCTCTATTGTAACAAGCTAGAAGAGGTGCTCACCTGAAAACGTCAACTGTAACCAGAGCCAAGGAAAAGCAGCATAAAACTAACTTTTGTAAGAACAAACATTCAAACATTACACAATGAATTATGAACTAAAAGTGCCAGTCAGAGAATGATCACACATGTGTACCCTTACAGAGCCACTGAACGGCAACAGGCTTGCTTCCAAAAATCGCCAAGTCTAAAGAGTCAGTCAATATCCCAGTTCAGATCTTTGTAGACATCATTTTTCAGCAGGTTTACCATCCTCATCCAAGTCAGAATTCTTCATGAGGCTGAAGTTGGTTCCTTATTCGTGGTACCAGTGCCTTACTCACGGTTCCCAGTTTCTTATTCAAAGGCCAAAATTATTTGACATTAATATATTTTAAGATTTTTTTTTAGACATTTCATCAAATTAATGTGATTTAATCTGATAAAAATTAAATTACTAATTACTTATTTATTTATTTATTAAATAAGGAGCTGAGTTATGACTGTACATGATGAAACAATGCTTGGATCAACCCAACTGACATGTCCCTGTGACCCACCAGACTGTTCTGAAGGACCTGGGACAAGTCACTCCCTGATCCAAATCTTTGTTCCTGAACAATATATTGCAACATCATACCACCATCCCACATTGTGCATAGGGCTTGAAAAGGAGCTGGGTTTTGAATGGTTGTATGAGACAAAATACATACTGGGTCACTCCAAGTTACACGTCCCCATGATGGTTTTACATTATGAAGAGATGAGGATATGCCACTCTACACACTGAACCTTTATTTCTGGTTTGACAAACATATTACCCCTAGTTTTATTGTTTGTTTGCATTGTTAGTTAACATGCAATACGCACACAAAAATTTAAAAAAAGCAATATTCAATCAACTTGCAAATCCAACTGTAATGTTTTCACAGATATGATAACTACAGATGAAGTCTACAGGAATTTTGCTTTGTTAGCTGAATTAAGAACAGAAAAATGTCTAAATTTATTGAAGTTTGTTTGTGTTAGATATACAGACATTTATATTTAAGTTGTGTGTTTTGCTCTTTACACAACAAAAATAAAATGAAGATAGTGGTTGGGCACAATTGGGTCCCAAATAAACATGCTTATTAACTATATACAAACGTACAAAGTCTAGCTTAATGCACACTGCTGCTCTGAGTGGTTTCTAATGGCTTCTAAAATATAGCAAACAGTGACCATCACTAGAATGCCCACAAACTACTTAAAAGAAATATTAACCTATTCCTCTATACTAAAATTAGTTGAACCAGCTAGTGTCTTTGCTGCTGTACGTTCCTCATGGCAACACTAATGTGGCTTGGTACACTTTAATGGAATTTAGAGAACTCTATCTCCACCTCCTTTTCCTTTTAATTCCAAAATTCCACCACAGAAATGCCAGCCATAAGTAAGTCTGTGGAAACATACAAAATGATTCCCAATGTTGCGCATTATCTCCAACATCTTTGTATCTAAAATGACAACAACTTTGCTTTAATGAACTCCATGGTTCATGCAAATGATTTTGATTGTTTCAAATATTGATTAGTTCAGTAGAAGTAATGTTTTAAAAGTTAGTGCTATATTCGAGTTACATGGAAAAGTGTTACAGAGAGGGCAGATGAAGGATTTTTCTGGGGAAGAGGCATTTAATTTCAGGTTTCAGTAATGCCAGTTATATATTTTTCCCCATTAATGAGAATTTCTAATTGCTCTTACTTGCTACCCAGACTTCAAGCATAAGTATACAAGCAACTGAAAAGTGTCTTTTCTTCACATTTGTCGTCACATTAGTTAAAATTTGTTCATAACATCTTGAGTGTGAGTTTTATATCACATTTGCCTCTTCAGCACCCTCCTTTGTGTTAACGCCATCCTACCCATAATAAATAGCTAGTCTCCAACTGAGAAGGTTAGCCCTCTACGTGTGAGATGCAGGCCCCTCTCCCACTGCAATGGGGCCCAATGTTACACGAAACCAAAACCTTCAGCCTCACACCAGTCATGCAGCCAAAAGATCACCTCCAGTATTTTCTGCCTTCTCCTTCAATGGACTGGTAAAAATCTCCAAAAAGATCAACTGGACTTTCCTTTTCTTCCACTTCCTTCCAATATGCCTGAGATTTTTCATAATCTGTGTAGCTGCATGTGGCACTGTCTCATTAGTTCCAAGGAATATTATCATCAGTGGAGACTTGCCAGATAACTTCATAATCCTGTGTAGTCCTGCAATTACATCTTGTAACTTCTCTCCAAGAAGACAGTACACCGTCCTATTGTCCCAAGAGAAGTTCTTCAACCATCCTAATGATGAATCTCTCTTGGTTGCTGATTTCATACCACAAGAACACCCATCAGATGTGTCCCCGGTAGTTTTCTGTTCCATTCCTCCAGAGACAGTTTCTTTTGTAGTTGGCTTGCTGAGTTTGATACTCCTAGTGGAGTTGAATGCCTCCCGGTTCCTATTTCCTTCTTGGTCACAAATCACCTGCTCATTCCTTTCATTTCTACTCTCTTTAATTCCCTTATCACTGATCCTTCCCCATGTGGCATCTGTGACAATGATTTCCAAAATTCTGTTGTCCAAGAAATGTTCATTTTCTCAGGTGCTGCAGTGTTGCAATTTATGTATTCAGACCACATATCTTCTCCTCCCAGTACGGCCACCAGCTTGCCTTTCATGCACCAGAAATCTACTCTGTCTTCCAGCAGAAAGGACAACATAGCACATCCAAGGAAGGTCACAGGATCATCCAGATCTGCTATCTGGAGCAGAGTCATACCGAAAACAAGAATCACACTTCCTCTCTAAACTGCCACTGAAACTCATCCCATTTGCCACTTCTGTTCATCTGATAACTGACCTACACACTAGCCTCAATGCTCAGCTTCCTCCCTTGCAAACAAAGAGGGAATAACCACCTTAGAAACATCAAATACAGGTTTCGTTCAAAGACACAAGGGTCTCAGTGACAAGGCCCACACTGAAACACAAACAGACCTGCCTCACCTGGCCGGTTCTGGAGCCCACAACTCAGTCACTCCACCCTCATAGAGAACAAAGACAATAGATGGAACAAACACAACACTCACCAAATCCCTGGACCTGAAAGCATAGGTTCGACAGCTTTCACCCTCTGAAACATCTGTTTGCTGCTCCTTTAACCCTGCTAAAGGGAGTGGACATGTTTGGAGGTGGGTGGAGGAGGGCAGGTGAAACGGGCAATGGTTTTCAATACAGATAAAGGGCTTGTCTATACTTACGGTTAAATCAGCACTGCTGTGATCAATGCAGTGGTATCGATTTAGCGGGTCTGGTGAAGACAAGGTAAGTCGATGGCAGAGCACTCTCCCATCGACATCTGTACTCCATCTCCTTAAGAGGCAGAAGGTAAGTCAGCGGGAGAGTGTCTCCCGTTGACACAGCGCAGTGTAGACACTGCTGTAAGTCGACCTAAGTTACATCTACTTCAGCTACCTAACTGAAGTAGCGTAACTTAGGTCAACTTACAGCTTTAGTGTAGACCAGCCCAAAATTTCAAGTAAAGGAGTTCCATGTTTCAACTACTTCAGAACAAATTAACAGTTGAAGGGACATGTCATTTGGGGTGACCTGAGACTTATTTTGTCAAGTAGAGCCAGTCAAAATCCAGTTCTTTATGCAGTCACCATTTACAGTACAGAAGTGGGATGGGAGCTTCATGTGCCAGCATGTTTCACCGGAACAAAGCTTCAGGTCAGGGAGTTACTTGTCTCATCTCCTTCAGAATAGTCAGACGGCCACATGGACCTGTCATTTGGCATGAACAGAGACTTACTTCATCACATACAGCCAGTCAAAACCCAGCTCCTTATTTAATTATTTTAATTCATAATTAAGTAATTATGCAGTATTATTATAGCTATGTCCCAGGATATTAGAGAGATGAGGAGAGTGAGATAATATCTTTTATTAGACCAATTTCTGTCTCTCTCACCAACAGAAGTTGATCCAATAAAAGATATTGCCTCACCCACCTTGTCTCAATTACATAATTAGTCATTTAAATTTGTCACATTCAAATGAATTTGATAAATTTCTAAAAATTTAATCCTACACTGATATATTTTTAAATAATTTTGGCCTTTGAACAAGGAACTGGGAATAAGGAGCTGGTGCCACGAATAAGCAGCCAACTTCAGCCTCATGAATTTGTCTTTTGCTCCACGATTGGTTCTCAACCTATCTACCATTTTGGGACACATCCAATACTACCTGTATGGCCCTGAGGATGTCACATGGGCCACAGCTCTGTGCAGATTGGGCTGCGGCCCGCAGGTTGAGAACCACTGAACTGTTCCACTAACATACTGAAGAAAAAGTATGTTTTGCCCAGTATTTGATTAAGCATTTTGCAAGATGCAAGCTGGTAGCTTCTATCCCTTTATATCTATTTATGAATAAAAGTGAACAGCAGAAGAGACTGGCAGATGCCTTCTTTGATCTTTCTAAGCCCTGAAGCAAAACCTCACTTTTCCCACATCACTGCTCTCATATCGTTTACTTCCTCCTGCTTCCTATGTTGTCATGCTTCTTTCCCAAATGCTCCTTTTGTGTCTCCTTCCAAGTAGAGAGATTGTCTCCAAAATAGCCTGTACCAAAACTGCCTGAGTTTATAGTCTGGTTAAAAACAAAACTATTAGTTGTCCATTGCTAAGGTGTAATTAAAAAACACTACCTCCAACACAACCCAGGCCCATATTAACAGCATTAAAATAAGCTTTCTATTTTTTGTGTCATTTTGTTAATACAGATGGTAGGGTGTTTTTTTTTTCCCAATGTCATGAAATAAAAATAGAATGAACAGCAGCAAAAGGAGCTGATCCTACAGTCCTTAATTAACACAACTCCTACCACAATCAATGGAAATTTTGACCAAGATTCTAAAAAACACCCATACCCTACAGAATGAGGAGTACTTGTGGCAGGTATCACAAGGACTCTTCCTTCTTTTTGCTGATAGAGACTAACACAGCTACCACTCTAAAACCTGTCACCAGATGCTACAGTAAGCTTACGCTCCCTGATTTTGTCTTCACACTGTAAACTAGTCAGCAAAGAACTTTATTAAATGTTTGCTCTAGACCAAATCCTACCTGCCCTTCCTCTTGTATACGAGTAAACTTTGTTTGGATGGGCCATTTTCCTTTTGTTCGCATGCCTTTGTGTCCTTCCTTCCCTGTTCCTATCACGGCAAAGCTACGGGGAGTAGATTTTGCACCCGGCTATATCAATAAAAATTACATAACTAGGGGAAGAATAATAAACAATATCCCCGACCTCAAGGTAGGAAAAGGCATTCTGGTCATTTCACAGCCTGGGGAGGGAAGGGGGGGTCAGGAAGCCTCCAGCGGCTCCTGCCCCGGCGTGTGGGGGGGGGGGGAGCCTCCAGCGGCCCTGACGCCGGGATGAGCGGTGAAACGGGCAGCCCGTTTCCATGGCAACCATACACAGAGCGGCCCCGTCCCGGGTTCCCATCCCTTTTGGGCTGTGCGGAGGCACCTTGTCGGCGGCTCTGTGCTAAGCGGGTCCTCTCCGCGCCGGTCCCCACTCCTGCCGCCGTTGAGGGCCACGCGGCGCTTTTCCCCCAGCCCCTGGCTGTGTCGAAGGGCAGGCGGCTCCAAACAAGCCGGCCGGCCGGACACGCATCGCCAGTGAGCATGCGCAGACAGTAGCAAGCGCATGCGCAGAGCTGCCCTATCCCAGGCTGTCTTCTGAAGAGAACGGGGCGGTGGCAAGTAGGGGGCGGAGCTTGTGCTGGGCGGGGCTCGTGCTGTGGGACTGAATGTGGGAAGCTGGCAGGAGCGGTGCGCTGGAGGCAATAGCCTAGTGCTGTCTCCTGCCGTTCACCTCCCAGCCGCAGGCGCCACGAGTTGCGGGGGCGGGTGGTAGGAAGCAGTGAGGGGCTGTACAATAACCTTTCTGCCTGCCCCCAAGATTGGGGTGGAAGGAAATTTACTCCCCCCTCCTCCCCCATCGCTCTAAGCAGACACTTTTTGCGCCTCCCTATCAACCCACCATGGCCCTAATGTGGAACGTGCTGCGTGACAAAGGCCCAAAATGAGGATCACAGAATGTATTTGTGAAGGAAACGGGGTTTGTTCCTTTAGGATAAACGTGCCAGTAACCTCTGTTTCATAATTTCAGCTCATTTTCAACAATAAAAGTGAAAGGGACCCCAGGGACCTTTGTGTCAAACAGTGGTAACTTTGGGACTAACCCGAGTGATGGGTATGGAAATGAGATGCACACAGGCAAGACTCCAGCACAAAACCAGTTTACTCTGTCATCCTGGTCAATGGCAATGTCTAGCTGTTGAATCACTGATTATTTTCTCATCTTGCCATCAAAAATTGGAAATGTTGTTGACGTATCTCCTGGCCATCTCACTCTTTTGTATGGGATATAGTCTTAGATGTTTCCATGTCATTCAGTCATACCAGGTACAGTCTATACAAATCCATCTCAGGAATCTGGGGAGAGATATTTTATATAAATACATTTACACACACACCTTAGTCTCAGCAGCGTAGGAATTATAACCCTGACCATATCTATCAGATCCTGTGCACACTCCCTCTCACATGGTTGATCGCTGCTGATGAAAATCCATCTCATGATTATTGGAATCATTTTGCCAGAGGCAATTAGAACCAGTTCAGTGACTCCCAGTTATACTTAACCTGTCACCCAGATGGGTAATTTGATGGTTTGCAGTTTTAAAAACCATAGATGCTGGAACTAGGAGTGCAGGGGATGCTGCATCATCCCCAGGCTTGAAGTGGTTTCCATTATATACAGGGTTTACCGTTTGGTTCAATGTCTTTCAGCACCCCACTGTAAAAATTGTTCCAGCACCCCTGTTAAAAACTTCCCAAATATCTAATAAAGAGAGGCCTGTGTCATCTGTTGTGGTGATTAGATCACTTATGACCTTGAAAGGGACAGTCTCTGGCTTTAGTCCTATCTGAATACATACTGAAACTTACCTAAAATATTGCCCCAAAACAATAGGTAAGGAACTGATCTATAATTCACACACACAATATAATGAGTAAGGTTTTCTTTAACAAGGGATTCATCTTCACTTTCTTTAACAAAGAAATGGGAACACAACTAGAGCCCTGCAAAGCTGCAGATATCTGCTTTATATGGATTTCCATGGACTATGTTTGTGGATCATGGATGGATGTGGATCCAAATTTTATATCTCGAGCCCTGCAAATCTGCTGTTATCCGCAGACTATGTTTGTGGATCATGGATTGGATGCTGCGTCTCTCTTCTCCCTGGGGTATATCTTGGCTGACCAGTTTCTTGCTTTCACTGTGTTAATCCAGAAAAAGTCTGCCTAAGCAGGCCTCTTTGCTTTCTTTTCAGGTACTAACAACAGTGCAATTGCCCACAGTTATAAGTTACACACAGCTCTTTGTTAGCCAAGAACATTTTATTCTTAAGGTAGAAGCATTACAGAGAAAGGTATTAAAACAATAAAAGAACCTACACACATACTAATAAATTTACCAAAGATCATCCCAACTGCAACATGGGCTCTGCAGAAGTACCTTAACCCCCACTCAGGGGTTTTCCTGTGGTTTCAAAAATCATTACACCCTTTGCTCTGAAAAAGAACACAATCTTAGGGGGCCTCAGTAGGCCAAAGTCCTTCCTATCCTTCCCTATAATGATTAGGCCTTTCATGGACTGGAGGTCCTGCTTGGTTGATGGATTAGAAAGGCAGCCCCGAGTCTGCTTTAACTCAGGTATGCCAGGTGAAAGACAAAATCCTTTCTTTGTCTGTTTGGCCCCTGAAGAATCCAGTTTAGGTCTTTGAACTATCCTCAGGGAACAGGTGCTCTTCAGACACGTAGTCCCCTGCTCATGGTGAAGCTTCAAAGGCTGAGTTCATAGGCAGGGGTTTGCAATCCCTTCCTCCCCACTACTTCCTAAGAGTTCTACTTCACATGTATTCTCTCAAAAGCTCAGGTGTGTCTGCTACATTGTTCAACATAGTCTTTTGAAGTTCACAATACTTCTGAAGTTCACAATCTCACAATAGTACATAAACATTTGTATTTTAATACAATGGGTATCCTAAAATATTTAAATTTAATTTGATAAGGTTTGCCCAGGATATTTGCACCTGGGGGAATTCTGCACCCCCAAAAAAAAATTCTGTGCCCTATATTTTAAAATTCTGCATATTTTATTTGACAAAATAATCACACCCGTTTCAAAATAACTGTCAACAATTATGTCTGTAACAATACAGACAAAAAAGATTCAGGAAATATTTTTTTGACAAATAGATTCCTTACTAGGTATATTGACCGGACTCACCCCACCCCACCCCCAAAGCAGTGCAAATGCTTGGGGGAGTCGGGGGTAATGGAGGAGCTGAGGAAGAAGGAAGTAATTGCTGGGAAGGAGCCTGGGAGTGAACCTGGAGGGTTGTTGGGTGTGGGTGGGAGAAGTATAGAACAGGGAGAGAAGAGCAGTGTGTATATGAACAGGAGTATAGAAGGAGCCATGTTCAAAAGTTAATTTTTTATTCAGGTTCTTATCTTTGTCAATTACAGACATTCCCTTTGTAATTTCTCTCTGCTATGTCTCAGCTATTCTAACTTTCTCACTTAAATCTCTTACTTCTTCTTGCATTTACTTTTAATTGAAAGAACTGTCCTCACCTCTCTAAAATGTACGTATTTTTAAATTAAATCTGTAGGTCTGGAGCCATGCCACTTTAGGATGAGAGCATCAACCCCATAAACTGGTTAGGACTCAGGAAGGTCAGTACTTGGATTACCAAGGAAAAAACAAGGTTCTGCAAGGAAGTGTTATGAGTAATTTCTCCTGAGTCAGTACTGAACCAATGTCCCAAACTGTGCTGAGGTGTATCATGCTCATGGAAGCATCATCTTTTTTAGGCTTAGAACTTAGGTCCTGAACATTTTTGATCAATGATCTCTTGGGATTCTAACACCAAGCCATTCAGACTTGCTATGATCAGACTTAGGTGACACACAGCTAAAAACACTAGTTGCCACAGGAGCCTTGCCTAGACAAGGGTTCCTACTGTTGCAACCTATAACAACTATCTCTAATGGCGCTGAAGCAGTGTTGGCAACGAGGGAAAACTTTTGCTAAAAAACCTAATGTAGATAAAGTTTTCAAGTCCTATGGTAGTCTGTATAGTCTTGCTGCATGTGCTGTTAAATTAGTGCCATGTTTCACCTCAGTAGCGGTTGCATTACAGAGGAAGATGAAGCAATTCATGACAACAGATTCTTGCAAGCTTTTTTTGAGAAGCTCTAATACTTCAGAAGCATGCCAAAGAAGAAGAATGTCCAAGCTATGTTCCTTGAGACCTTTCCTGCATCTTGAGCAAAGGAAAACAAAAGGCAGAAGATTCTGCAAGTGAATTGCTAGGTAGGTAAGAGGTGTAGACTTTGGTTTTGTGGAACATTCGTCTACCCTCTATGGGGAGAGGGGCTATATAGGTGGCCTCCACCTCAGTAGAAGGGAGACCAATCTCCTTGGGAACAGGCTGTCTAGAGTAGTCAGGAGGGGGTTAAACTAATAGCAAAAGGGGAGGGTAAAAGAGGGACAATATGAATACTCAGCAAAAAATTGAGATGTTGAGAACAAAATTAATCCAGGAACCAAAGGACCTAAAGAGTAGAAATTATTTAATTGCCTCTACACCAAATGTAAGAGCCTGGGTAATAAACAAGAAGAATTGGAATTGCTTACTGATAAACAAATTCAATCTAGTTGCTATTACTGAAACCCAATGGAATGATTCACATAATTGGAATGTTAAAATCAATGGTTATAACCTATTTAGGCAGGATCAAGTGAGCAAAAGGGGAGAGGGAGTGGCACTATATTAAAAATGGCATTACCTGTTTCTGAGTCACTGATAACTCAGAAGATATTGATCTTGAATGTTAGGGATCACTGTCTAATGGATAAAGCACAAGACAGGGTACTAGTTGATGTCTGCTACACACCACCTAATCACACTAGGAACAGGATGACCACTTCCTTATGCACCTATCTACAGGAAAAAAGATGTGTGATCATGAGGGACTACAATTCGAGTGACATATACTGGAGGTCTCATACTGCCAGTACTAAAACATCCTTGGAATTTCTAAATATAATCAATGACAGTTGCCTAATTCAAAAAGTGTGCAGCCAAAATGGGGGTGGTGGAGGGAATTATATATTAGACCTTGTCCTAACATATAAAGAGGAACTGATTACAAAACTGAAAAATAAATGGTAGCTTAGGTACAAATGATCATAGAAATGTAGGACTGGAAGGGACCGTAATAGGTCATTTAGTCCAGTCCCCTATGTTGAGGCAGAACTAAGTATTACCTAGACCAGGGGTTCCCAAACTTGGTTTGCGGTTTGTTCAGGGTAAGCCCCTGGCGGGCCGTGAGGCGCTTTGTTTACCTGAGCGTCCGCAGGTATGGCCGTTAGCAGCTCCCAGTGGCCGCGGTTCACCGTTCCTGGCCAATGGGAGCTGTGGGAAGTGGCACAGGCCGGGCCACTGCTTCCCGCTGCTCCCATTGGCTGGGAATGGCGAACTGCGGCCACTGGCAGCTGTGAGCAGCAGTACCTGCGGATGCTCAGGTAAACAAAGCGTCTCACGGCCCACCAGGGGCTTACCCTGAACAAGCCGCGAACCAAGTTTGGGAACCCCTCACCTAGACCAGTGTTTCTCAATGGCTAGCACCCTGACAGAGTTTAGGAAGGCAGCAAGTCAGTCCCTGGTATCAAAAAAGTTGAGAAACACTGATCTAGACCATCCCTTACAGGTATTTGTCTATCCTGTTCTTAAAAACCTCCAATGACAGAGATTCCACAAGCTTCCTAAGTAATTTGTTCCAGTGCTTAACTACCCTTACAGTTAGGAAGTTTTTCCTAATGTCTAACCTTAATCTCCCTTGCTGCAATATAAACCCATTACTTCTTGGCCTAGCCTCAGTGGCTAAGGAGAATGATTTATCACCCTCTCTTTATAACAATCTTTTGCATACTTGAAGAACTATTATCATGCCCTCCCTCAGTCTTCTCTTCTCCAGATTAAACAAATCCATTTTTTTCAGTCTTTCGTCATAGGTTAGGTTTTCTTGATCTTTAATCATTTTTGTTGCTCTCTTCTGGGCTCTCTCCAGTTTGTCCTACCCAATTTACACTGATGTTCACTATGTTAGTCATCCAATCACTGCTAACTTGTTTGGTGAAAACTGAAACAAAAACAGCATTTAACACTTTGGCCATTGCTGCTTTTCTCTTATTGTCTTTCCCTCCTCATTGAGTAAGGGGCCTACCATGTTCTTGGTCTTCCTCTTACTTCTCATGTATTTGTATCATGACTTGATCACATATATAATGTCTGAGCAGACTAAAGTCCAGACCAATAATATATACTTGGTGCTTTAATAGGG